CCCCCCCCCCCCCCCCCACTGTATTGGCTAGTGCATATTAATACAAAATGTAAATACAGTGGGTCTACCAAAGTTCAATCTGGCCAAAATAAATTTTTAATGGCCGCCTCTATTATCACCCCGAGTGAAAATAGCGCGGGCGAGCCTTTTGGTTATTCTAGCCCGGTGTGCATTCACCGTTAGCCTTGGTAAACCAGTGTAGCGTTCACCCTGAACCCCAGAATTCTACACAGCGATATAACAGAATTGTTAGAATGGTGCCGTGAACAAACATTCCAGCGCTCTTGTGTTACTATTACTGTTAGCCTAAAAGCGTGCAATTTTGTCTGTGGGCAAAGGAGAGAGAGAAAGAGAGAGAGAAAGAGAGAGAGAGAGAGTGAGAGAGAGAGTAGTAGCGCGAGAACTTCCGGGCAAAACAAAATGGCGACCCGCGTAGTTCGGCTCGATTCGAAAAGTTAAATAGCCGTAGCATCTTTGTAGATGACCAAATTAATTTACTTTTTGTGTCTTAACGTCATTTTAAAACTTTATTTTGGTCAATATGATCGTCCACACCGATAGACAGTATTCAGAAAGAGACAGAGAAAGGGAGAGAGGGGAGAAGTAGATCTTGCGAGAACTTCCGGGCAAAACAAAATGGCCACCCCAGTTGTTCGGCTCGATTCGAAAAGTGAAATAGCCGTAGCATCTTTGTAGACTACCATAGCTTACTTTTGTGCTATAACATTATTTTTTTCTTTGCTTTTGTCAATTTGATCATCCACACAGATAGACAGTATTCCGAAATTGGGAAAAATAGGTCTTGTTTCACACCGGGTGAGAATATTAGCCAACGCTGGCAAGTCTCATCGGGGTGAGAGGTCGATCGTATTTTTATTCTCACCCCGGGTGAGGATAGCCACTTCCATTTTTAATACAAAAAAGGCAGAAAAATATTACAGGCTAATTAAAATGTGGTAGGGTTCACTTCTAAACCTACATGGCCACTTTTGTCCTATTTAGTAACTTTTAGCAATCACTTGGGGGTTTTTTACGTTAACAAACGGGAAGGCAATTTCCAGCTAAAGAGACCCACTGACCTCTACCTCACGATAGCTTAGTTAAAATCAATTGAAGAATTTAACGTGCTAAAGTATAAGGTCGCCAAAAGATCGACTCTGTCTCTCCTGTCCAAATGATCAAATGGACATGAGAGAGAATTTCAGCTGCTTTATTTTTAACATCATTATAGGAAGTGGCTATTCTCATCTGGGGTGAGAATAGAAATACGATCGACCTCTCACCCCGGGAGAGACTTGCGACCGAAGGCTATTCTCACCCAGTTTGAAACAAGACCTGTGTTTCCTCATTTCGGAATACTTTCTATCGATGTGGATGATCAAATTGATAAAAGCCAAGAAAAAATTACGTTATTGCACAAAAGTAAGCTAATTTGATCGTCTTCAAAGATGCTATGGCATCACTGTTCGAATCGAGCCGAACTACGCGGGTCGCCATTTTGTTTTGCCCGGAAGTTCTCGCAAGATCTACTCCTCCCCTCTCTCTCTCTGTCTCTTTCTGAATACTGTCTATCGGTGTGGACGATCAAATTGACCAAAACAAAGTTAAAAAATTATGTTAAAACACAAAAGTAAATTAATTTGGTTGTCTACAAAGATGCTACGGCTATTTAACTTTTCGAATCGAGCCGAACTACGCAGGTCGTCATTTTGTTTTTAACCGGAAGTTCTCGTGCTACTCCTCTCTCTCTCTCTCTCTCGCTCCACTGCCCACAGACAAAATTGTACGCTTTTAGTAGGCTACAGTTGTAATGGAACATGTGTTCACGGCACAGAATTCTACAATTTTTCTGTTATCAAAGTGTAGAATTCTGTGGTTTAGGGTGAACGCAAAATTTGTTGACCTAGATCTAGGCTATAACGGCATAATGGTGAACGCGCACTGGGTGAGAATAGCCAAAAGACTCGCCTGTACTATTCTCACCCCGGGTGAGAAGAGGTGGCCGTCATTATTATTATAAATCAAATGCCTTGTCAAATTTCTAGACATATAATTGATCTAGATCTATCTACAATCTATCTATCTAGATCTAGTCTAGATCTCACTTGATTTTCAGGTCTTTATCTCAAAGTTTCAGTTTCATTTTGCAAAACAAGATCTAAATCTTTCGGCGCTTTTTCGGTAGTTCCCACCCCGCAATTTTATTCACGGGTTTGGGCCACAAGAGTAGGGGGGTTTCAGGGGGGCTTGCCTAATAAAAATAGGAAGGGGGGTTTCAGGGGGGGCATGCCCCCCTGAATTTTACCATAATTTAATGTTTTGCAGTTGTTAGGTTTTATATCTTAGCTCACCGCGAATCAAACGTATAGATCTAGATCTAGATGTAGGTCAGGCTCAAATAAGGGGGGTGGGAACTACCGAAAAAGCACCCCTCAGCCTCAGTGAAGTGAAAATGAAAATGCTATCCACCACAGAACTCACTCTCAACTCAACAGTCAGTCAACAACAACAAAGATTTGGACGAAAGACAAATCTGGAAAATAATCTTTAACGGGCAAAGAAACCCCTCATCTATGCAGACAATCGAAAGCGACTAGAATTGGGCATAAACTTTGCAGACCTTGCTTCAGGGACGATGCTATTCTTTCCAAATCTGCATAAGAAATCCGAACAATGTCTTCCGTTGCCATTTTCCCATTCTTACAATGTCTTACATTGTGACTCAAGTGTGGTTTTCTGAACTGAAGACTTTCATAACGGGAGGCTACTCATAAAAAATAAAAAATTCATTGCCTTTCTTGTCATTATGGTCCTACAAAATTATTGTTCTTACGAACTGCTTACGTGAACTTGCTTCAATAGTTCAGTCGTAGGCCTGCCATGCCACAGTTAAGCTAAATCCGACTGAAGATCAACGTATAAAGTTGACTAGGCTAACTGATTGTAAACCGTAGGTTGCTAGGGAAGACTTTTCTCTGAAACCTCCCTCCTCAACTCTCTAAAGACCGTTCATCTTTTTATCTATTCTGACCAGACCAGACCATCAATGATTTATTTATCGATATTTATAGAGGCACCAGCCATCCATGTCCAGGTGCTGTTTTAGCCTCTTTTTCCTGTATTCGGATTAATATTATCTTTTTGCCAATTTATTGTTTCCGCTTCTATGTACCCCATATCTATGGTTCTCAACCTGGAAATCGCCTATAATTCGCTGCAATTGCCTCCCCCCTTCCCCCCACCCCCTCTCATCACGTCCCCCCCCCCCCCCCACACACACACACACACACACACACACTCATAGTGTCATCATTTATGTTACCGTCTATTTTTATCAATAATAAACACGTTTATGTATTATGGGCAGTATTAATGATAATTAAGAAAAAAAAATCAATTAAATAATAAATAAATAAATAAATAAATAAAAAATGCAAACATTAATAATAAATAAATAAATAATGCTAATGATTATCATAATACAAATATTGATAATGAGAAGAAGAAGAAGAAGAAGAAGAAGAAGAAGAAGAAGAAGAAGAAGAAGAAGAAGAAGAAGAAGAAGAAGAAGAAGAAGAAGAAGAAGAAGAAGAAGAAGAAGAAGAAGAAGAAGAAGAAGAAGAAGAAGAAGAAGAAGAAGAAGAAGAAGAATTTAGAAGAAGAAAAAGAAGAAGAAGAAGAAGAAGAAGAAGAAGAAGAAGAAGAAGAAGAAGAAGAAGAAGAAGAAGAAGAAGAAGAAGAAGAAGAAGAAGAAGAAGAAGAAGAAGAAGAAGAAGAAACAACACGGTCATAACATCAATATAAAAAACAATAATACTAACAATAGAATTGATTTGAGTAAAATAATGAAATAATATTAAAATAATAAATGGAGCAATATTATTATAAATCAAAATTTCTAAAAGGACACTACTTGGAATCCGCCGATTGTATGGGATCAGATACCTTGTATCTATTCTATTGAGGAATGCATTGCCTTTCTATGCAGCCGAGCTGTAATAAGTTCTTGCTTGCTCGCGATAGCGTTTTCAAACTGTTTTGCTTGTTTGGGTTTTTTTTAATTACTATTTTATTAGTGTGTGTGTGTGTGTGTGTGCGCGCGTGCGCGCGTGCGCGCGCGCGCGCGCGTGTGTGTGTGTGTGTGTGTGTGTGTG